CGGGTAAAGCGAAAGGAAAGCTGTTTTGGATAGTTTTGGTAGGCAAGAGATAAGTATTTATACATGGAGATGGATATGCATGATAAAATTAGTATTGAGAAAAGGAAATGGAAATTGCGGTCTAACTGTAACGAAAGTTTAATCTAAATATTTTTTATGAAAATACCTCGGAAATATAAAATTGTTTTCTTCATAAAAATATTAAGGATATGTATATTATATTTTATTATTCAAGGCAGAGTAAATACTACATTGAAGTAATAAGAGATTAAAAGAATATTTCACACGTTTTGGTTAAGGAACTTGGCAAAGCTTCCTCACATCCAGAGACACATCGAAAACACGGGAATGTGATTCAACAAATCTCTGGTGGAAATTTCTTGGCATCTTTCCCAATATCTCAATAATTGTAATCGTCACGCCATATGCGCTTCTCGTACCACTTTACTTTCATAACCCCTATTACGGAACAGCGTAACAATCGAAAATTGTTTCGACGAATCTCGATTAAATTCTTAATTAAAAACTGTTGCAATTTTGAAGCTCGATTTCATAGAAGTAACCTTAAAAAATCCTATTTCACAACGGTACTCAAAGCTAGTACTATCATTAATAAAAATATTGCAAATCAATTCTTCCTTGATGGACCTCCAATTTCTAAAACTCGATTGTTTGCGTCGATCAACCTAGTTTACGATAGATCTGTCTGTCCAGCTATTTTTATCCGAAACAGCAATTCCGAGTATCAGCATCATAAATCCCAGCTCTTGTCTAAAGCGTTGTCGCCGGGTGCAAACATTTGTTCGTCGCGCATCCGCGAGGATCGTAAAAATGTTCGTTTGTCCGAGTAGTCGTTTCCTCGGACCCCTGAAACGACGCGTATACTCGAGAACCAGAATCGTCGATAATCTCGGAATGGCGGAAGTAGTCCGTCGTAATTTTCCAACGACCAGTTAACGGATCGAGACACGTAGAATCGAAGCAGCTGGCGTTCAAACCATCATCCTTAATCCCTCGTTTCTTTTTCGAATAACCGGAAGCTAGAAGTTGGCCGAGGGAATTTCCGCTTGTGTCACGCGAGACCTTCAGCCCCCCCCCCCCCC